TTTCAAAAGTGCTATACAAATAAAAGTTATTATTATAAATTAACAATAAAAAATAATTTCGGTTAATTTCATTTAATTTCAGCACAGCAACTAGAGTAAAGTAAGGTTTTGTTACTTTCCATCACTTGCTGAAATCAACAGCCAACGAAGGCGGAAGTAGCAGGAAGGCTACACTCTCGCCCCCTCTTCCTGTAAACACTCTCTGCCTTTAAGAACAGGGCGTATCCACTCTTTGGGAATTAGGAAATGCGCTGCTGTGTGAACCAAGTCCCTCCTCTCGTTGAGTTTGACCCATGATTTGACCACGGATGTCGGTGACCAGAGCCTCCGAGGGCCGCCTGTTGTAAACATCACCACCGGACCGACAGCCAGCAACGGTCCCGTCCATCAATGGCCGATTCACCCGCCTTGACGAGTAAGTTTACGACCTTTTCTTTTCTTTTAACCTGTTTGGAAACGAAAAGGTTTCAGCACTGCACGGACACAGTCTCTAACGTGTTGCTTCCATTTTAAGAGTTTATTAAGTTATAGTGGCGCCAGGGTATTGATGCAGACCGTCGTGGAAATCTACCAACGTTAGTGAAAGTTGGAAAGTTTCAGAGGGGATAGTGCACACAGTGTAGAGTGACAGCCAAACGTCAACACATTCAACCAATGTGTAGAAAGAAGGGAATACAACATATTGAGCATGTATAATAGGATAAGGGACTATAAAAGAAACAGCAACCTGGATTAAAATGTCCCTGCAAACTCAGCATGGAGCAGCAAACGCATGAATCCCTCATTATAAAGGTGTTTAATGACATTACCACTGAACTTAACTTCTATGGTGTCTCTCATTCAGTAGTATTAAGGTAAGCACATTTAAGTGAGCTGCTTTATGACCCGGCAAAGTTCAAATCTACATCTAGTGTTGTTTTGAAGTTAAATAAGCCATTTACTCCTTTTACAAGTTACACTACAGACTCTATTTCACAAGCCAGAGCTTACGGTGTACTTCTCCTTTATAAAAACTGTTATTTCTCTGTATTAAACATGTAAAAGCTGACATAAACACACATAACTGCCTCTCAAACCAGATTAACTTCTCACTACTGCGATTTTCAGCGAAGCAGCTAAATCTAAAGAATATGACACTTTAAGAGCCTCACTGTTTATATTTGAGGAATAAAATTTAGTTTTTTTATTAGCTGTTGAAATATGTCATCTACTTCCAATAACATCCTCAGAATCCTGCCTCAAGTAAATAACTTGGCTAAGTGTAATAATATTGGAGTAGCACAAAATATGTAAACCTTAAAAATGATCTCAGTTATCTGTCAATTGGAGTGCATGTTTGGACAGGGTATCCTTCAGGATGGATGTGTTACAGTACGCAGCCTTTTGAAGCCTTTAGTAAGAGCCTGTGGATATTTTGAAACACTGCTAGGGTCACTTATGTGTCAGAGAAGAGTACTGTACGTCTCTTCTTCACTCAATCTGCCGTTCTCTCTCAGTTCCAGCTTTGGTTTTTCTTCATAACCTTTAAAACCCAGGGGCCTGTTTCCATTTTCCATGGAGAGTCCACAGGAGTCTGTGGCTTGCAAAAGGCCAAGGCTCTCATTCAATTAGACCAAGTCGAGCAGTACGTTGGCTTGGTATTAAGAACACACTTGTGTAATATGTGTGTGGGTTAGTGTATACACACTGCAAGCGTGCTGTATGTCTCAGAGAGTTTCAGCTGTTTTCGCCACTTCGTGTAGCGTGCTTCCAGTGACTCCAGCTTTGCAGGCTGAGGGAAGTTATTGTGGTCTAGGTCAGTGGTTCCCAATCTAGGGGTCGGGACCCCCCAAGAGGTCCCAAGATAAATGTGAGCGATCACAGGATGATTATAGGGTGGGAAAGGAAACAAAAAGACATTTGTTTATGAAATGCTTCAAATGAAACGGGAACGGAAAACCCATGCTCACATCTACACACAGGAGTAAGACTTGTGCTGACGGGTCACACGCACATATTGCTTCATTTTTAGGGGTCACAAGTCGAAAAAGGTTGGGAGCCACTTGCTCTAGGCAGAACACAAAGCAGGTATAGACAGCAGTGTTTTTAGCCAATGCCAAACAATATTTCCCACCTCCACCAAAGTGAACCTGCTGGGAGCTTTGCGTTCGATATTGCATTTAAGATGCTTATAAATGAAGAAGAGTACTTTAATGCTTTCTGGAGAGATGGGAGTTTAGCTGTGTCCCCTCCCTCCCTGTCTTTTTCAGTGCTTCAAAGCAGACGTATGCAAATGGTTTGACTCATGTCCGATTTGACATTTGTACACAAACGTGTTTGTAGTGCGGCAACGCGGATGTTGCTGCAAAGCACACAGGTGAGCTTGCATTGCAGGTGAAGGGTCTGGAGGTGTCCTATTACTCTAATAAAGCTACATTTTCATACACATGCCATAGTAAAAATGATCCTCTGCTGCTGTATCTTCCTGATCAGGATTCAGTTCAATCAAATGCTTTATTGGCATATGCAGCAATAAAGAAATGCTCTTCTTGTTTCACACTGATTTGATGATTGACAAAGAACTAAGCATACAAACCCAAACATCTCACTTTGGACTTCTCAATTTGCTGCTTTCCTTTGTTTAGCAATTTTAAAGGTGTCATGTTCTTGGAGACATTTTTTTAAACGGTTTTCTGACATTTTATAGACCAAACTTTTAATCGATTCTTTGAGGAAATAACAGGCAGATTAAACGAGAGAATAAAGAAAGTGCAATTACAACCTACATGTGATGGTCAATGTAGACACCACATTGTTTGAATCTGAATCTCTGCTTCTAGTAAAAATTTGAATTTTCCGTTCACTGATCAGTATGCAGCATTGCACAACAAGTGCACTCTTGCTAATATGTAGGCCAGTATAAATGCAGACATGGCAAACATGGGGGGCGATATCGTAAGATAACGTGCTGTTTGAGATCTTGTCATCTCTCACAGTGTCAGAGCTGTGTCTGTGAGGTTTCATCTCCACTTTTTAATGAGATCACTAAGAGACTAAATGGATAAAGGACCAAAGGTTGAAACAACAGGACCGTCTCTGGTAATTTGTAATGAAATGTGGTTATTTTTTAGTCTCTGGGTCTTAGATTTCCTTCTTCAGCAGCACATGACTTCCTGAATATGAGGAAATGGCTAAGCCACAGATGGCCAGAGCCTTTTAGCCCATAAATATTCACTGTTGAGCCGTAGGCCACTAATTTCGTTCCTCATGTGTTGTTTGGGTCAAATAAAAACGGTTTACTAGATGTTTACTGTCATTTTCTCAATGGTGAAGAAAAATAATCTTGATTGACAGCTATGTAGCATGTTTTTAAAGGTATTCAGTAACTTTTTATTGACTAATACTCTTTGTCTTGGTGCCACCACGACAAGAACAGAAAGATTTGAGTTGTGGAGTCCCTCTGGACTTTATATTCTGTTCCTCCTGGGGTAAACGAACAGCTCGCAGGAGTAGATTCTCCGAGAATGAAGGTGCACCGTGGTGTTTGGGTGCGATTAATGGGGAAGCAGAGGTTGTTAACTAGCCAAGCAGTGGTCAATATGGAGACGTCCTAACAGTTTCCATTTCCTTTCTCCTTCCTAAGATGAGTCAATGGAAGAGAATAATGCAGTTACAGCTAGGTATGGATCAGATTACTGACTGAATGTAGCTGAGAGCTCTGTCACGGATAACAAACTTACCTCCTGAGTTCCCTTTTTTAAAGATTCTGCTTAGACTTGGACTATTGAATGCAACATTTGTCACAAAGTGACTCAGAAAGTTGTGATTGATCTGAAAATGAGACATTTAGGTGAGTAAACACACAATGTGCTCCCTGGTGTCGTGAGATCTTCTGCTGCTATCAGCAGAGAGGAACTTCCACATCCTCATTTCTGAGACACTGTTAGGCACTGTGGTGTGGTCATCAACACTAACCACTTATTAGTAATTGGTGCTTTCCATATTCTGTGTGTGCGAGTGCCAAAAAGAGAAGACTTAAAGAGGATAAAGGCAAAGAATATACCAATGTAAAGAGATGAGGCAGAACACACTGCTAAACTGCCCTCAGCGGGCAGTTTTTGAGGTTTTCAGGTATTTTCGATCACAAATCTTTCTCCCACAAGTGTTTTTGCAGAGATTGATTTTACATCAATTCACAAAAGAGGCAGCAGAGACGTCGATAACCTTCAGGCAGACAGAAGTTCTCACTGCGTAAATCCTCATAAAACTGCAGGAAATTAAACTAGCAGGACAGTAATGTGGGCCTTTTTAGCCTTCGCTCAGCTGCAAAGGGTGTTTCAAATGAAGGATTTGTCACTGTAAACAGGAGCACTTTTGCAGATTCTTTTGGGAATACCTTTTATCAGTGGGGTAAGTGGGTTTGGTGGGGAACCACTCATGTTTTGGAAGTCCTGGTCAGTTCTTGTCCTGCTACAACCCTCAGTACAGTGTATGTTTTCCTTGTAGCCAGGGGCAGCTTTACCCAGTGAGTATTTGTTAGGCAAAGATACAGAGTCTGGGACAGTAGAGGAATCAAATTATTACATTAATTCGTCATGGAATATATATCGTTTTAATTGTTAGGTGTTCAAATTCGAATGCTGCCACCGGCACAAACTCTACGCTAGGTCACACATATGGTTACACACACAAAATAAATCATCGAGAGAGGGCAGTGTGGCCAACTTGGTGACTTTCTCAGTAGATTTACCACCTTTCAGGCCATCTTAGTTAATTTTTCTAAAAACTGACACATTTTACAACTTATTCAGACCATCAGGGCGAGAAATACATTAAAATATATTATATTGTAATCGCAGTCGGCGGCTCTTATGCCAGCAGCACCGGGGTCTCTCCCTCTCCTCTTGTGCCGTGTTGCAGGCATTCAGTAGGCGTGGCGTGAGGGAAAAGTTTGACCTTCTCTTTCGCTCTTTCTCTCCTGATCCATGGATTAGGGCGCTCATTTAGCTTATATGTAAATAGTTTGTTTGTAGCTTTTAAATATTTGAACAGTTCGTTCAAATATTTTGGTGTTGGTCCCTTTGTAGATTGTTTTTACTTCAAATATATAAGATTTTCCTGCAGTGAATTTCTGACTATTTGGCTGAATAATAATAATAATAGTGTTCAAAGTGTTTGTATGTACATTTCCATCACCATATACCAATCAGAAACCGGTTTGTTTTTGCAATGCAGTTTGCAGTGATGCATTTATTGATCAAAAAGTTGGAAATGAACAACAATTCGAGGAAGTTGCGGGACACTGAGGAAAAAAAGTGAAGTCCAAGCCCTAGAAATATTTTCTCCTGAAGCTTTTCTTGTCCAGATCATTTTCAGTGGATCTTTACATCTAGGCCTGATACTGGTGTCAATATGATTCCTGAAGTCAAACTTCTCAAAGAGAGCAGAGTGTTGTCTTAACAGCAGCAGGATTAGAAGAACTTATATAACACTATACAGCTGACTGACATGGGGATATATCTGATCAAAGAATGTGGATCCAGGATGATTAGTTGATAGGAATAAATGTAATTACAAACAATTTTGATAAGTTAATAAATAACTGTTTTTCAAAATCTAATTTTCTTTGGTTTTATATAATTGTACATTGAATATTGTAGGTTTTCGATTATAATGCTTTACACCTTTTTATTGATATGTTTTACTCTCTCTATATATAATATAACTATTTCCCACAGGACAAATACATTTCTATCTAAAACAAATAATCGTTAGTTGCAACCTTAGATTTAATTTAGATTTTTGTTTCTTGTTTCTGTCTGTACCGAAATGTATTTATTAATATCGATACAAAATTAGAGAACGAAGAATCTATTATAAGCCTACCAAAGTCCAAAGTTAATTATGCTAAGGAAACCTAATATACCAATTATACAGCATCCTGGTATGACTGTGCACCTGTGATGTATCTCAGATATCTGTATTTTTTGGCTGTCCCTCTGAGGACTTTCATCGTGGCACCAGCTGTGGTTGCGAAGAGCTTTATGACTCAAGTCTAAATCCTCCTCAAGGACTCTATTCAGCCCATTTGCCAGTCTCTCGCTATTCTTTTTCAGTGATTTCAGATGATTTTAATACAATCCTCTAATTGGCCCAAGGTTGCTTATGAGTCTTTTGGAAAGGCATGGGACCATGCCAGGACTGCCTGCTAATGTGTGGTGGATATGAACACACAGACAAACAGTCGGGCAGAGGGTGGTCAGTGAGCAGACAATGGTCTTTATCAGTGTGTTCAGTCGGATGCATCAGGGAACTGGGACAATGGGAGAGCACAAATTCCTGTATGCATCAGGAGGCCTATGGTTAGGTATCCCGATACACACACGTACTCATACATCAGTGGGACATTTAATAGTGGCTTGAACATGTGATTTCATTGAGATTCTATTCATACTGTGATCTACCCTTTCTGTCTGTCTGTGTGTGTCTCTCACATACACACAAGCACACACAATGATGCGAACAGGAAACCAGACAAAAGCCCTCTTGTGTGCCGAGCTGGAATGCCTCACGTGGTGCGCCAACAGCAGGAGCAAGGGGAGCTTTCGCCTATAGCTGACCACAGGTCACGGTCTGCCCTTTGACCTTTTGACCTGATTACCTTCAAGATGTTGTGTCCAAAATGGAAAATGTAATCAGTCATTTAAATGTGCAGTCTGCAACGAATTTAGAGGCTAAAATTCTTTTTGAAAAGTTTTTCATAACTGATTAATTGTTTTATTCAAACATCTGATGGTTACAGCTTCTTAAAAGTGAGGATTTTCGGTGTTTCTTTGTCATATATGAATATATAAAACTGATTGTCTTTGGGTTTTAGGCTGTTGGTTGGACAAAACAAGCAATATGAAGACGTCACTTTGGTCTCAGGGAAGATGTGATTGCCGTTTTTGCTATTTCTTTACATACCATGGAGGAAAATAATAGTTAGAGTCAGCGATAAAACAATGCCTTAAGCTGTTTGAGATGAAAGCACAGTATGTATTGCTTGTGAGCTGCTTCGGTCACCCTTCCCAAGAGCCTTGTTGCACCCTGATGGGTCTAAAGTCCGGTGTGTAGGTGGGTGGGCAGATGGTAGTGGGAGTGGGAAGCTCGAGTGGTAAAGTTTATGGTCTTTTTGTTCTTTTTGCTGCAGTCAGTTACTGTGAAAAACAAGATGTCACCAACCCTGATATCTGTGTGACCATAAATGTAAATTTCACATCAATCCTTGGTGGACAAGGTGCAAATAACATAAGAAGAACATTAAACATCATAACATTTGTCAAGAATAATATGCAAATCTCTATGCTTATTAGTTTTGATGCTCAGAAAGCTTTTGACACAGTGAATTGGCAGTTTTTATATAAAACGCCAGCTGTTAAGGGGTTCCACCCCACATTTTTAGACTGGATAAGAGTCATATATACAAACCCAAAATCACATGTTAGAGTGAATGGATGCTGTTCAGATTTTTTTATCTTGAGAGGGGGGTTCGACAGGGTGACTGCCTCAGCCCTTTGCTTTTTGCTATAAATATAGAACCTCTAGCTGCATTAATCAGACAGAATGATAGTATTAAAGGCATAAAAGATCAAGGTCAAATAGAACACACAATTTCTCTCTATGCAGATGACATATTGACATATTAGTGATCCATTTACCTCTGTCCCATCATTAATGAGAAATTTAAAGGAATATGGAGTGCTCTCAGGCTATAAAATTAATCAATCAAAGTCAGAGGCAATGATGCTGGTGGGGCACTGGCCTGCACAATTAACAGGCAGTATTAAATTCCACTGGTCTAATCAAGGGTTTGACACATCACAGCTGTACAAGGCCAACTATGGCAAACTGATGGGCGAAATAAAAAATTACCTTACAAGATGGGAAGTTCTCCCCTTATCCCTAATAGGACGAGTGGAAACGATACGAATGAACATATTACCAAGGCTGCTCTTTGTGTTCCAATCTCTACCCATAGAGGTCCCTACCTCCACATTCAAAATAATCAATAATTGGCAATAATCTAAATGTATATGGCAAAACAAAAGACCCAGAATTAGATTGAAAAGAATGTTATGCAGAAAATGGAGGCCTTGATTTACCTAACCTGAAAAAATATTATTGGGCAGCTCAGCTTAGATCATTGGTTGCATGGATATCTCAAGACAACGATACTATATGGGTTGGGATGGAGCAAAACGACTGCCTTAACTTGCCCCTAGACACAATTCCATTTATGAGTCAAGACACTTGGAAAATAAATAAAATTGATAATCAGTGGGTGAAAACCACTTTAAGAATATGGTCCAATGTGAAGACGAAATTAAGACTCCCGGTGTCAATATCTCTAGAGCAATGAAAATTGCACAAAATACAGACTTTCTAAATTAGGAACAGGGTTCAAGAAATAGGAGCGGAATGGCTTAGTTATGTTGGACCAATTATTTGACGGAGGAGTCCTGATGTCCTATGAGCAGCTCAGACATAAATACAACCTTCCAGCCCATGATTTTTTTTTAAATATCTCCAACTGAGACACTATTTACAGAAACACAAAGAATGGGACAAACTATGCACTTTACCCTCTAATATAGAACATTTCTTTATGTTAATAATTAAAGAGACGGTTATATCACACATAAGATAGGAGGAGGAGGAGGAGGAGGAGGAGGAGGAGAAGAAGAAGAACTAACGGATAACAGTTTAGATATGAAAGATAAATGGAAACTGGAAATGAACACCATAATTCCAGAT